AACTCAACAACTGGAAGCTGCGCCGACCACGTACGTGGTGCGTCCGCGCACACATGTCCTCGAGCACTAGATTGACGCGCTCTGTCTGGCCATCAGTTTTTGGACGGTCCGCAGTGGACATCTGCAGATGAGTTCCCAGTAAAGGAAACATCATTTTCCAAAACGCAGCCATGAACCGCGGGTCTTGGTCCGAGACAATCGTCTCCGAGAGACTGTGATAGCGGAACACGCCATCGACGAACAACTTTGCGGTTTGTTCGCCCGTAACGGGAACGGGAACTGGAGCAAGATGTACCATCTTGCTCAGCCGGCACACGAACACCAAAATTCCGGTGTTGCTGTGTCTGTTGGCGGGAAGCCCAAAGATGAAGTCAAGATTCATCGGCTTCCAACAGTCAGCCGGTACGGGCAGGCTCTGTAGTGGAGCCGAAGGGTGCCCTGTGGGTTTGACCCGCTGGCATGTTTCACATGTCTTCACGTATCGGGCGACCAACTTGTACATGTGGGTCCACCAGAAGGCCTGAGAGACCGACAGGAAGGTCTTCTCGCGGTCCAAGTGGCCGCTGGAGGGCGCGTTGTGCGCGTCTGCGAGGATGTTAAACTTCGGATCCTCGTCGTTGGGTACGACCATTCGTGGAGGTTCATTGGGCTCCACCCGGTAATAGAGGAGGCCATCCTTCAACTCATATCAGTGGAGCCTCATCGTCCCGATACGCCATGCGTATCCGATCATATAGATCCGTTGATGTGGGCCAACTCGTAGTCTGGACGAGAGAGGGCGTCCGCAAGCACGTTGAGCTTGCCCGGTTTGTACTCGACGCGGAAGTTGTACTCCGCGAAGAAGGACAGCCACCTCGCCATTCGTGGGAGAGGTGAGGCGATTTTGTCGCCGTCCTCATGGATGCGTGGTCTGTGTAGATCACGAAGGGCCGTAAGCCCATAAGGTGAACCCGAAACTTCACAAGGGCATACTTCATTGCCAGGAGCTCTTTGTCGTAGACAGGGTAGTTATGCTCGGCGGCTTTGAGCTGCTGGACTGGAACGAGATGACTCGTTCATGGCTCAACCGTGTCGACCTGCAGCAGTGCACACCCGATGGCGTAGTCGGAGGCATCGCAGACGACGCTAAACGGCTTCGTCTCGTCCGGCAGGGCCAGGACAGGGGCCTCTTGGAGACTGGCATTGATGCTGTCAAAAGCATCCTGGTGCTCTTGGTCCCAGCGCCAGTCGACGCCCTTCTAAAGGAGGCCCGACATGGGCTTAGCAAAGCCCGCGTACCCCGCGCTGTACTTGTGAAGGTAGTTGGCCAAGCTCAACCACTTTCGAAGATCCTTCTGGGATCGGGGCGTCGGCCATGCTGCTATGGCCTTGACCTTGTCTGGGTCAGCCCGAACGCCCACGTTGCTTACGAAGCAACCGAGAACTTTAATCTCTGGTGACGCGAAAACGCACTTGTCGATGTTGGCGTAGAGCTTGTTCGCTCGCATTACGTCCAACACTCGACGGAGGTGTCCTAGATGCACCTCCACGGCCGTATTGCCTCCCTCGGCACGGCTATGGACGAATATGTCGTCGAAGTACGTCTGTACGAAGGCGCGCAGTGGCCTGAACAATTGCGTCACCAGGCAGTTTAATGTCGCCGAGGCGTTAGACAAGCCCTGTGGCAACACGAGCCACTCCCAAAGCATGCCGCTTGGGGTGCTCACCGCGGTGAGAGGGATGTCGCTCTCGCGCATCAGGATCTGGTAGTATCCATCTACCAAATCCAGCGCACTGTACAGTACGCTTCCGGTCATGTTGTTTAACAACACATCCTTTCGTGGGATTGGTGTTTGGGCCGGCACCGTCGCGTTTTTCAGCTTGTTATAAGCATGAACTAGACGCCACGTTCCTTTCGGCTTCCGAACGTAGAAAGTCGGCGTCGATTGCGGGGACTGTGACTCCCGCACCATGCCTGTCTTCGCCTTCGCAGCGAATAAGAAGCATCAATGACCTCGCACTGTTCGCGCGGGCGAGGCCATTGCCTCGTGACACAGTACTTTGTGCCAGGCACAAGATCGATCTCATGCCGTACACCTCGATCTGGTGGGAGCTGGGTCAGTGGGTGTTTGTTCACCACGTCCGCATATTCCGTCACCAAAGGATACACCGGATCCTTGGGGTTCTTAAGGATCTCAGAACCCAAGCGCGTCTGACGCTGCTTGTGTAGGTCTTCCCGGACGTTCTCGTCCTGGAGAGAGGAGGAGTTCAGCTCCTACCGAGTGGTCTCAGGTCTCATGAGCACCATCTCGGCACCTTTCTAGCCTTGAGGTTGGCCAGGAAAGACTCGACCGTCATCATCGAGGTTCAGTATCTCTGCAACCTCTGGCAACGGCTCCAAGTGGACACCCGATGCCTTGATGGGTCAACCGGTCTCGCCATCAAATATGTGATAACACTCTTCCACCTGCCTTATCGGAGGAGCCGGGGCCCTGGACTCCGAGTCGCTTGTAGCGACGTCGTCGTCGACGGCGACCGTGACGTGGAACTTTGCTACCCACGTCTGGGGATGTCGGAGCGCCGACATCTGAGGCACTCGAGGCCTCGTGTGGCACTATGTTACCCACATAGAAAGCGTATCTGACGTCTTCCTCTTCAGTAAAGGTCTGGGTGACCGTGTGTGGAACTCTGTTACCCACCTTGAACACGCTATTACCAGCGTTCGTGACAGCTGCAGCTGTCTGTGGAACTATGTTACCCGCTTGTGGACCTAAGTTACCCACTTGGCTAGCGCCTCCTCTGGGCGCCGCCACCATCGAAGCGTCCTCGGAGTCGTCATATACGTCGACGACTCCCAAGCATCTACTGGATGCTTCGGTACCCTGGCAACCCTTGCGGGCGCCCCAGGTCTTGACAGAGGTGGAAACATGACTCACCAATGCTCGCCCGACTTCGCAGGGCGGCTGGCAACGATTGCCTTGTCTCGCCAGTCGATCCAGGTCTCGTGCTTCTCAAGCCAGGGCATGCCCAGGATCATATCGTAGGGATCCCTATCGAGAGGCGTAAACTGTTCTGGGCTGTCAAACTCTTCAAACTTGACGGCCATATCCACTGGCCGTTAGACGTTGGGGACAGTGACGACCCTCCCGTCGGCCAGTCGCACTGACACCGTCCCGTTGCCTTTGCTTTCTCTCAAAGCATCGTACAACTTGTTGCGATTACGAGCTACCGTCTGGCGGTGTGCGAAGTTCTTTGACGCCCCAGAATCGATCAAGATTCTAAAGGGGTGATCCTATCCCCGTACACATCCGTGTTCTACGAGCAACCCGCCGCTGCTCTTCACCGATTCGAGAGTGCGAAGACTCTCAAGGGCTAAGTTCCCGTGGTACGCGCCACCCGCGCACCCTTCACGAAGCCTTAGCTCTTCCCCAGTAGGGCGCCCCGCCCCTACTGGTTTCCGGTGCACAGCTGAGCCCAGGATGTGAAACATCCAGGGGATGTCGCCTCCCGCGTGTACACTCAACTCTTAGCACTACCGCTAAGGTTGGAGAGTGCAAAAGCAACACGAGGTTGCTCGGTCGAGATCAGAGCTGCATCCATCGCGAGCTCTACCCCTCGGACCTAGAAGTGTAGGTTCTCACCTTCCTTCCCTTCATGCGGCTTAACCTTCAGCCGTATTGGCTTCGGGTGTGGCGGATTTGTTTCCGCCGCCGGAGCCTGCAGGTTCTCCCGCACATGCGTGATGAGCCCCTGCTCGTAAGCGTCAAACACATTGACGCGCTCGAGCTGCTCGGCCGGTGTTGACACCACCAGGCTCTGCAGGGCCTCCATCCCGAAGATGCCTGTCATCTTCCGAACCGACTCGAACTGTGAGTCGTTCAGATGGGAGAAGTCGTCCCTATCCGTGGCAACGAACTTTAAAGAGGTTCAGGTAGTCTACCCGCGTTGGCATGGATTGACCAGCATGTGCTACCAAGTGTGACGTGGTCACACAGCACCTTGCGCTAGAGGAAGCTGGCTTCCGAGAGTATACAAACTCTCAGTGAACGGCAGCTCACAGGTCTTTTTTTTACCTAAAGGGAACGGGGTGACCAATATAAGGTAGGTTGCAAACTGAGTATATTTATAGGTAGACTGAGGTTGAGGTAAATATACAAACTATAAGTCACCTATAGAAATGCAATGTCATCAGCCAGTGGTTGGCCTCGGACGACCTTGGTACCTTGTACCAAAATCCCGAAGTATGACGTGTCATACTTCTGAAGTGTGACGTGTCACACTTCATGCAACTAGGAGTGCACTCAGAGTTACGTACCCCTTTACACCCTGAGCCCCAGTGTCAGAAGTAAGTACTCTACCCAAAAGTCACACACCAACTCGACTAAGTACGGTCACAGGATTGTCAAACAAATACCTGCTGCATATAGCATTCTTCAGTATGTTTCCTTATCTAACACTGTAAAAAAACGCTCAGTCACATACCTAGCACATACGGATCTAGCCCACTGGGTCTACCATAAGCAGGCTAAAATTGGTTTCCGTGTCTGGCATTTTTAGTATATCGGTGCCAAATCGTACAAGTATCAAATACTTCGTATTAACTAAGACAAAAATATTAAAATATCAGCCAAAACGGGAGATCAAGAAATGTGGTTTTTGGTCATCTAACACGCCATATTAAGTGATAGAACACCACATATGGGAGTTGATTTACCTGCTTTTTTTCAAAAGTATCGAAACCTTAATTGTTGATCATACTTTGTAATACTAATTGTTGATCAAACAATGATTGTATGGTCAACTATTAGCTATTTAAGTTTCGATATTTTTCAAACTCTTTTTATGTTGAAAGTTTCAACTTGAAACTACGGTGTAGATCGCATCTAAGTGAATTTTTCCAGGCATGGAAATTGTGGGTAGAACTCACAATACTCTACAAGCCGTGTTAGTAGCCAGCCATTTAGTATCAGGTGCTGAATTTATGGAATGCATTATAACGTTCTACTTCAAGAAGTACTAATCTACTTTCTCAGGCTTTTCTTCTTCTCAGAAAATTTTACCGGGTTTGAGGCGTTCACTTTTCTGGCAGCTTTCCTCTTTGAGGAGTTAGCTGACAGTGCTACGTTATTCTTCTCTTTTATTTGGGGCTGAGCCCGACTCGCCAACCGAGAAATCGCCGGAGATACTGCCACTATCGCTGCTTGTTTCTGCATTTGTAACCGTCGAAGTCGCGCTCGCCGCATACGCTCCGCCACCGACTGATCTACATCGGTAGTTTCACTATCATCGCTTGAAAGTGATGAGCACGAGCTGATCGAATACTGCGGTACATCTGTAAGCCCTCCTCGTGCCCTTTGCAATAGTCGAGGAGGAAGCTGAGCATACGCGGGAGCCTGTTCCAATCTCTTAGATATTCGTTCCTGAAGAAGTCGAATGTCTTCATGAACCTTGCTAGTGTGTCTATCGATCAGGACTTCTTCCGCTATAGCGGTTGCTTCTGTTGGATAATCGAGCCCATCAGATCTAGTATGTCCACCAACCGGACGTACGAGACCTGGAGATTGCTTAGAATATTTGAGCATCGCTACGGAGCGAGATCTGCCAGTAGGTGCCGTCCCACGCTGAGCTTGCTCCAAATGGGTATCCTGTGGCTTAGTGCCTGGCTGTGCTTCATGGTGTCCTCTGCACTGTGCCACCATACGATGGTCTCTTCTACCGCAGTCTTCTTGGTTACTATGTAGATTATCGCACTGCTCGTGTCCAAGACGTGGGTCAAATAGATTCGACTGAGAGGTTGACTCCGCATTGTTAATGCGGTGAGTCATGTTTAAAATCAGCTGATTCTTCTCTTGCAGTAGTCGACTCAGCTCTGCATTCTTCACTTGCTCTTCCTTCCGTTTCTCTTCGATGTTTGTACATTCAGTCCGCAAGCGTTCGTTTTCACGTTCGTGTGCTTGTTCGTGTTCGTTCATGGCTTCACATGTACTAGCAATCCGCTTTTCATACTCCTGGAGACGATTCGCTGTATCATCTCGCTCGGTTTCTCGTTCCTTCAAGTGACCTCGAAGTTCAGCTATCTCTCGTTCAAGCTCCTTCTGCTTTTCAACCGTGACCGTCATCTCATCGTCATGCACTTGAGCTGTATTCTCTGAAGCAGCACGTAGATCCTCGTTGACTTTTTCCACTCCAGCCACTTTAGCCTTCTCAGCTTCAAGTTCTCTCTTCAACTCGATCATTCGAACTTGTTGCACTTGGTTCTCCTGAGCAAGAGATCGATATTTGACGTTAGCATTCTCTCGCTTTTCTTCTTCATCACACAGAGCGTCTTCCCACATCCGTCGCTCCTGTTCAATAGCAGTTCTTGCCTTTTTTAGCTCAATCTCAAGAGAAGCGTTTCTCTTTTCACAAAGACGTAAACTCTGCTCCAAGTCTACAACTTGCTGGTTATCACCCTTGGAGCGCTCGTGAAAAATTTCAACTTGGTCGGACAGAGACACAGCAGTGTCCTTCGCAGCCTGGAGATGAGCCTCCAGATCGTGCTTTTCGTGAACAGCACTGTCGTAAATCTGTCGTAACATTTTCAATTGCTGGTGTAACTGAACCACGTAAAGACTTTTCCATTGTCGCCAAACAGCATTGAGAACCCCCTGCTTCCGTTGAAGTGACAGGAGTTGGGCGTGCTGCTTGCAGCGCTTCTTACTTGAGCTGTATCCTCTCCAACTTCGTGAAATTCGTCGGAGAAGTGACCATTGCCGCCGCTTTTCGGCATGTGCTAGCATCCTTGCTCGTGCCTTTTGCACTCTCACTAATCGAATACCAGCTCGAAAAGTGTCAAAATGACGCTGGAGTGTCCCGTACTTGTTGGTCTTGGCTCTCTGCAAGTTGGTATGTGCTCGCTCTTTCCATACACACCACGAAATGCGTAACAACTTAATGAAATAATGTTTTAGAGCTTTCGTAGAATCTTGCGTATACTTCCGCTTGGCCATCGAGAAATATTTCCAATGCATCCACAACTTCCGAAGACGCCTACGATTCACATAGCGCTTGGCCAAATTCAAAGACCGTCTCGACGTTGCTTGCTCAGATGCGGTAACATGCCACGCACAAAAGAAATCTTTAACCAAAGCAAGTTTCTCTCGATGAGCAGCGTAATTTTTACTTAGAACTCGCCGACGCCAATCCACCCAACGTCTCCAAATTCGCCGACGTAGCCTGAGTTTACACAGCCTGTCAATCTCGATCAACTTGCACCACTCACGGAAGTACAGACGTGTCTGTCTGCATTGTTTTCGGTACTCAAACTGCGCTGCCCGTTCTTGAAGAGGCCTAGCAACGGAATACAGGAACAGCTTCCATTTCCAAAATACCGTTTGTTTATTGATACGTCGAGAATCCTGCCAGCGTAAATCTTGCACTTTCCTGACCGTTCGTTTGTATCTGGTTGTACGTTTCCATTCACGGAAACACGCACGGTGAAGGTTGTGTATCATACGATCTCGCTGTTGGTCCAGTAATTCTCTTTCGTGCTTTATTAAAGCAGCGCCGCTAGCCCATGCGCGAAAAATACTATCGAGAAACCGAGTTTCACGCATCATCTCATTGCGCCTTGCGATCACACTCACTCTCGTAATATTGGCCCATTCGGAGAAATGAATTCTTCGTATTCGAAGTTGCTGCTTCCTCAAACAGACTCGTAGTTCTTGTTGCATCCAGATTTTACGTCTCCATTGCCAGAAATGATTGTGTTGGACGATAAAGCAACGCTTCCTTCGAACATGTCTGATCTGTTGAGACCAATTGTAGAATCGGATCCAGCGGATGAAGAACCGCTTGAGGATCTTCGGTGTGGCAACAGCCATCGTACGTTGAGCCATCTCTTCTTTAAGCGCCTCACGCTCATGAAGCTGTTGAGCCAGTGTCCGTTGATAAGAAGACAATTTCCGCTGAACACTGGACAGATTGTTCCGGAGATCTAGCTCTCGTTGTTCCGACTGCATTAACGCTCGGATATACTTCTCTTCTCGTTGCTCGAGCTCGTGCATCCGGCCCTCACTGAGCGATATCACTGGTTTTATCTGCTCAGGAATGCGTGGAGGTTCCGGTGCTTGGGCTGGTAGAACGTGCTTTAATGGTTGAGCTGTAGCTAGTGGATTGGGTGGGCTCTTCGTGATAGGGATATAGGGTTCTTCGTGACCACGACGTGCTCGACGAGGTGACGAAGAAGCGTGGCTGATAGCACTAATGCTAGTCATATCTAGGTCTTCCCGTGTGAAAGCAGATGATACACGGCGTTGACTATAGTTGAACTCGCTTGTAACTTCGGTATCACCGTGACCTCTACTCATCTCGTGGCCACCATTGTTGAAGCAAGTTGAAGACTGTTGTCGCTCACCAAGATGCCTATGAAATGAAGAACGCTGTTTCTCGATGAGTCCCGGGGGTAAGGGAGCATTGTCTTGCCGTTCCATGGAGTACACTCGTTGAACTTGTGGTATTCTGCTCGGTAGAGAAGCTCGCGATGCTTTCTGAGGTAAACAAGGTGCTGAGTCTCGTAATCTGAAACCTTGAATCGCCTCACCGAGAGATTTATTCGCGAAATCTCCACTGCGAAGATTCGCCTTGCGATCTCGGGGGTTGGACGCCGAAGTTTCTCGGTTGTGCGAATAGTGACTAGCTTCTGCTTCGCTCACTTTCGTTGGCTGGTGTTGTCTTGGATGTCTCGTAAAGGCTGGTGGTGGAGGCAGAAATCTCGGATATGCGGTTTCTACTCCCTTTTCCGAAGTATCGGGGTCCTGCTGCTGCGGTGGAAGTTGATGCTGACTAGATCGTGCATCACTATCGAGAGAATTCCGCCTTTCACGAAGATGTGATCCCATCTGAGCGTGCGCTTGATGTTGGTTTTGATGAGGCGGCGGCTTCATTTCCAGCTCATCAGCGTTTCGTTCCGTACGTCGACCGCCAGCCATTTTACTCCGCTGCCTTGGATCCATTGAGAGGAGTTCTTTCAGGTATTCTACCATCTCTTTGCGGTTCTTTTCGCAGATCGCAAGCAGATTGGCAATCGTATTTTGCTGTAATGCGATCACATTGGCGTAGGCGTCTTCCCATGACGCACAATGCTGCTTTATGTCGTTCGAAAGACCACCTTTGCGCTGTGCTCGTGGGGAGGACCCGTTCGCTAGCTTAAGCAAATACTCCGTCGCTTTCACTTTCGGATTTTTAGCTAGTTTTGCATGTGTGCGGACAATAATCGTAAGCATTTGCACCTTCAGCGCTTCCTGCTCCTCTTCAGATAGTGCATCTTCGTACTTCCACAGTCGCAAGAACAGTGACACATTACAAGCGACGTCGTTCGGACTTGGTACGCGATCAAACCTCCCAGCAGCAACTCCTGCCATCACGCGTCCATAAAACGCCTTGTGCAACGAAATCAATTGCGCGATCCGTTGCAGCTTTTGAATACCGAAATGGTTCTGCGAGACCATTCCTCTTAAAGCGTTGTCTTGTGCTGCTACATGAGGCGCTGCATCTCGTTCTTTCTTGGTGATATCGCTATTATCCAAGACCTGCAGCTTGTCAAGCATTGCGATAATCCGCAGTCTGTAGTTCGGCTGGTCACAGAGCGGATTTCCCATCAAATTGAGATTCCGGAGTTGTGCGAGATCATTCAGTATTGCCACCTCCTTCTCGGACGCGATCAAATTCCCACCCACGGACAGCAATCGCACAGCTGAAAACTGCTCGATGCCTTCGAGCGATCGCAAGCTGTTCTGGCTTAGGTACAGTGCTGTGACGGACGCACTCACGGTTGGTGGCACCCGACCCAGCACGTGAAGGCCCTTACCCACCGCATTCAGTCTTGCACCGTCGCACATCCGCATGCCATGCTGCTTAAAGGCATCCCCTAGTGTCTTCTGCGACTGGAATGGGTTCGTTTTACCTCTGAAAGCCGCATCGTGTTTGGGTTTACAGGGCGTTGGGCGTTTGCCCGGTTTCTTGGCGAAAGATCTGTCAGATATTTTAGACTTAGGAGGGTGCCGCAATGCAAATTGTCGAGTGTAGCTGGATATAATAGGTGGGTCGGCCATCTTGCTCTATCTAGATAGCCGTAAGTGGTCCTGGAAGCAACGCAGCATGCAGGAAGGGCACCTGTGACTTGTGCGCACCAAGGGGCGTCATGGTAACGGAATACAAGAAACAAAGGGCTCAGACTCAGATGTTTGCCATTCGTGTAGACCACATCACGAACAGAATAGAATCGAGTACGGCATTCGCTTATGTACGAGACTATTTTTGACGCTAAAAAAGGACTAAAATGAGGGTCTCCGACGGTGTTCGCTAACTTCATTCCTCACTCCAGTTCTCGATTGGCATCCCACGAGCGACAAGCGCAACTCTCTCTCTACTCTCTCAAGTGACCCACAGCAACAGCAGCATGGCTCGTCGTCTCACTAAAGTGCGTATCTACTGTGTAATAGCCGCCAGTGAATCTTCCACCACTAATGTCGATCTGCCTGCAGGAACTCGCTGAATTTGAAAAGAGCTCCCCCGACTGGTGCACGGTCAGCGCAGTAGACGACGATCTTATGCACTGGAACGCAATGCTTGCAGGCCCCGTACGCTATAGTATCTGCAGCCAGTTTTGTGTAAAGTTTGTTGGGCTCATTCGTGGCCCTGTGCAGGAGAATACACCCTACTCTGGTGGCGTCTTCAACTTGGACCTGCAGTTCCCTAGCGAGTATCCGTTCAAGGCGCCCAAGGTGCGCTTCCTCACACGAGTCTACCACCCCAACGTTAAGTCACAGTCGGGTGAGATCTGCGCCGACGTCATCAACGAGGTGCGTCCGGTACAGATTCCTTGAGTGCGAAATGATACGTTATCTGATCTTAGTGTTGTTTTGCTGCAGAACTGGGGCCCGACACTGAATGTACTGCACTGCCTCACAGCCATCAAGCAGATCTTGGAGCAGCCAGACATGGACAACCCGCTGGAGCCTGAAATCGCGAAGCAAATGCATGAAAACAAGGCCGATTTTGAGAAGACAGCGGAGGACTGGACGAAGCAGTACGCGTCCTAACTCGATAAGTACTGTAGAGCATCGCAGGTCACAATTTACCCTAAATCAGGTGATTTTTTAAAGCATTTTTTTACTTTATATCGTCAAAATTGTTTCAATACCCCTGGGGATGAAGACGTCACACGTCTTCCTCGTTTTGGGAGCGCTGCTAGCGACACCTACAGCGGCTTTTGGGCGACGCCAGCCCATTGACAATGAGCCAGGTCCCCCTGCTGTGCTTTGGTATGCTCCTTTCCTCAGTGGCGGCGGCTATTGTAGTGAAGCGCACTCGTACGTGGTAGCCGTTGATGCCGCCTTGGGGAAAGGAAGTGTATCGTCCTCAACCTCAAGCGGTGGTCATGGTGAACCGGAGACTGCACAAAATACCGGGATTAATTCACCATTAGAGAGACCCTTTGAGCTGCTTATCACACAGCATGGAGACTCGCTTAACCCGTCATTTATCCGAGATCTGCCTAAGGACATGAAGGCCAAGCTGGAGCAGCATTGGATCGAGGAGAGGGACTTTTACTGGCGTTTGAAGTATAGAAAAACTGCTCTGGCAATTTGTCACTCGGAGCCAGGAGCGTGGGAGCCTGCGCACTACATAACGTCCCGTTGTCCTCCAGAGGGTGCACTCTACAAGGTTGGACGCACCATGTTCGAGACAGACCGAGTACCCAAGGGTTGGCCCGACCGAATGAATAAGATGGATGAGATCTGGGTACCTACCAAGTTTCAGGAAAAGATTTTCGTGGATGGAGGAGTAAGACCCGAAGCGGTGAAAGTCGTCCCGGAGGTGGTGGACGTGGACTTCTTTGACCCTGAAAAGGTGGACCAAGTGTACGATCTGGCTAGCGAGACGGCGTTTGACCTGACAGAAAAGACGACTGTGTACTTGTCCATTTTCAAGTGGGAAGAGAGGAAGGCTTGGAGAGTGCTGCTGAAGGCATACTTCCAGGCGTTCACGGCGAGTGATGACGTTGTTCTCGTGTTACTGACGAATGGATACCACACGACGTCGTCGTCGGCCGATGACTTTATGAATGTCATTGAGGAGTTTGCTTTAGAAGCAGTCGGCAAGAAACTACTGGAGTTGCCCCATATTCACGTGCTGCCACCGCATATCCCCCAAGAGGACATGCCGGCTTTGTACAAGGCTGCCAATGCGTTCGTTCTTCCGTCACGTGGTGAAGGTTGGGGCCGACCGCATGTCGAGGCCATGGCGATGGAACGTCCTGTGATCGCTACCTTCTGGAGTGGCACCACTGAGTACATGACAGAGGAAAACTCGTACCCGCTCAACATTGACGGCCTCATCGAGGTAAGCACAGTGAGACTGGTAACAGGTCTCCTTGGCAATGCCGATTGTCATTTTTTCTTACCCATATTTTTTTTTGTTTAAACAGATAAAAGAAGGCGCGTTTAAAGGTCACATGTGGGCTGATCCTTCCGTGAAGCACCTGAAGGAGCTGCTACTTCGGATCAAGGAGCATCCAAAGGTAAGACGCACGAAGAAGTGTTACTTTTTGTCGATCTGAAGTCCTTGATCTCAACGAATGCCTCTCTTTCGCAGGAAGCGGTTGCTAAGGGCAAGCAAGCTCGCAAAGACATGGTGGACAAATATTCCCCGGAAATCATCGGAGAGATCGTCCTCGGACACATTTCTCGAATTTTGGAGCATGTCACGGCACAGGACGAAGCTGCCGCTGCTCATGAAGAGCTATAGATTGATCTTTCGTGGCTTTATCAGACCAATAAATCAAATCATGGCTGTATGATAATGTTGTTCTACTGCTCAGCTGCACAGTCGTCAACGTAGTCCTCTTGTGTCAGCCAAGTTCGATGCAGCCAGAGACCTTTTGTCGGCGCAGACGGTCCAGGCTGGACTTCACCAGCGAGAACCTGCTGCATTCGGGACGCAGGTTGTGTACCCTCGCCTATCGGCCGTAATGTTCCGATGATTCGCCGTACCATGTGCCGCAAGAAGCCATTGGCAACAAGCTCAATGCACACAAAGTGTACTGGCGCTCCTTCGTTTGCTGGCTCGACCTTCCGCTTCTTGTGCTCACCAGTGGCTACAGCTTTAGTATCAACCACGGTACTGTTGCCTGGTTCGCGATACATGTCAGCAGCGTCAATAATTTCGCCACTACCAGAAACTGGGGGGTCCAGAGAGAAGTTCACATTGCTATCGTTCATATGCATACATGTACGCACGACATCAGTTAGCTGCCTGAGTGGCACGTGAACAACGAGAAAAAGCGGGTATACCGTCGAGCAACCACCTTCGCCGACATGACTGTCCGTAATGTTGTCATATCCTCGAACTTTGGCTTTTGTAGTCCCTGCGAGAACGGTCTGAAATCATGCGTCCCCTCCAGAAACCTGGTTCGACATAACCTGTCAGTCTCACTCTGATACCAGAAAGCTGTATCAAGGCTGAACCAACAACTCACTTCAACGCATCACGAATCCGCTGAATATCAAGCCTTCTTCCCAGGAACCACGAGTACTTGCCGAGCTCTAGATCTGGTCGATGTCCTTGTTGCAGGTAGTAAATGTACTTCTTGTAGCGCGATCGAATTCGCGACGGACCCGTCGTTGGTACCGTCACACCAAGCACCGCCACTCGACCAATGTCCAACCTACAATAGCACCTCTCATCAGTCGTGATCTTTGTTTTGCATTGCCTCAATCTACGCTATACTTACTTGGTATTGACACGGTCCTTCAGTTCGTCCATAGTCATAGGCAGCTCCGAATCGAGGCGGATGAAGCCGAATTGCTACAAATACGCATTGCGCGTATCCCCTTTAGTTCAAGCGTTGATCCAATACCCCGACAATCACCCCTTCTCTTTTCCAAATCCACATACATAGAGTGCGTGGGTGCCTGCATCCGTCCGACTGACTCCGGTGACGTTGACGCGCTTAGAGGTCCCCAAAGTCTCCGTTACGGCAGCTTCCACCACTTCCTGCACACTGTCGTGACCAGAGCTGCTTTTGGTCTCCTGCTGCTGTCGTTGCCATCCCACAAAGCCCGTCCCGTAATACGCAATGTGCAGGCAGTAGCGCCAGCTCGTGGGCGTTGCGGCGGACAAGTCAGACTTGTCCGGCGATTCCATGGTCCAAGTCTGAACACCAGTGATACACAAAATAAAAGTTTACTTTATTAAAAAAATCAGAGTTGGTCGGTCTAGTAGAACCCTCGATCGGCGGAATGGCCATCTGCGAGCATGTGAGCTATCACCCCGTTGCCATGACGCACCGCCAAGTCCAATGCGGTGGCGCCTTCCTGTCGATTTGACAAAACACAGTTACATGTATCCATTTAGTCTTGGCTAGCTGAAGTCAAAAGTGACCTTACCGAGTTGGTGTAGGTCTTGTCGGCTCCGTGTCGTAGCAGGATCCGTGCAATGTTGTCGTGGCCGAAGAAAGCAGCTTCGTGTAGTGCACTGAAGCCGTCGGACTGGTATCAGAAAACCCCTCATTAGTGGTGGCATTATTGCAGTAGGTGTGGATAAGTGTTGGCGGCTGACATCTCTCTGGTTAACGTCAGCTCCTCTCTCCAGCAAGAACACCACGCAGTCATCACAACCCTTTTTCACTGCAGCTTGGAGTGCTGCGTATCCTTCTTTCTGCACGATATGGGCGTTAAAAGCAACAACTGCACGATACTGCGGTTTAACCCACGTCGGTATCGTTGATTCGAGCGCCTTGTTCAAGCAGTGCCGCTAGCTCTTTCACGTCCCCATTCCCTGCCGCAGCTACCCATCGATGTCATCATGAAAATAGTGTTTCAGTCTTTGCTATTTGGATGCATACAAAGTAACCTGTAAAGAGCTCCTCGATCTTCACGAAGCTCATGGTCGATACTTCCGATTGTAAAGACAGAGACGCCTGTTTCATTTCGGGAAAAGGCGTCAGCTAAAAAGATCGTCACCATGAGCGTGATCGACCCCGTTTTCTTTGACAAGAAGTTTAACGTGTCGCGCTACATGCTGCGGTATGTGGTCGGCGCCGCAACGGACGAGCTTCGCGACCAGCAGCTCCAGAAGGTGCGAAAGTTTCGTGCCATGGCCGACAACCAAATCGACGGCGTTATCGACCAAAGTTTCGTCAACTTCAACACAAGTCTCGCTCGCTTCACAACCATCGCGAACCAGCTACAAGGTTCGCCACCTCTTCTCGATATAACTCTACCGCAGCCGCAGTCCGTGAGTGTTCTTGTGTCATTTTTCCCTTTAGAAACGCGGAACAAAGTACAGGAAATTCGTAAACGAGCTGCTGATGGACGGACGATTCTAGGCTCCAAGACTAAAAACTTACGCGAGTTGCTGCTCCAGAAGTACGAGGCTAAAAAGGTGATCGACATTATCAATGACATCGAGTGCATTGAGGCTGCACCGGCGAAGATTGACGCACTTTTGACCCAACGGAAGTTCCTCGAGGCAGTTGACGAGTTCGCAAGCGCATTGGATTTGGTCTTTAGCGAGCAACTCGTGGCCTTCCACGCCACCACAGGATTACGCAACGACCTGATGGAGTGCAAACAAACCATCGAAGATCGACTAGTTCAGGAGCTTCAGAGAGCTGTATACCTTAAAGGAGCGTTTGCCAACATCGCATCACGGACCAATCAGTACTCACTAGCAGCGATTGAGAGCGAGCTCAACAGTGACGTCAATCTCGACCAGGAATTCGACAACCTTATGCTGGTCATGCGCAAAGCTGATACTGCGGACCAACACCGAAAGAGCAGATTGAACAGTGTCGCTGTCGCTCCATTGCCCACTAACAACGTGTTGCGAACTGCTGTCAGCGCCGTTAAAAAGTGAGTTTAATACTTGCGTTGAGGGGTTACAGCTGCTGACATCACGTTCTTGTCGCCAGACTGCATCGCGAGCGAGAAACTATCGGTACGATCAAGAGTTCCATCGAGCATGAGCTGGATGATGTAGTGGCAAAGCTGTCTCGCCTCTGCCGAGGCATCTTCAACAGTAGCAGTAGTACGTCCTTTGCTAACGCGTTCACTGAGGCTACGTTCGGCTTGCATGACAACTCAAACGACTTTGGCACGTTCTTGCGTCTGCTCTTCACCGTGTTGCGTCGCGTTGCTCAGCGCCACTACCTCGTCTCCATTTACTTCGAAGCGGACGGGGATAATTGGGACTACGGCATGTTCGAGGTCATTACCAAGATTGCCGGTGTACTCGAGGTGACGTGGATCATCAATGCGTCGCAAACATGTTCTAAGCTCACAACTTGCTATTTATAGACGGTGATAAGCGAATATCTCGACGGAGCTTCCTCGCCACAACCAGCGACGCGTGGTCCGTCGTCGCTGTCCTCTTCTGACAGCGAGGCACTGTTCAAATTGAGTCGTAACAAGCCAGCAGCCACGAATCCGTCGGGCGAGGACAACCAAATCGGTTCACCGACAGCAAAACGCAGTCGACTTGTGTGTGAACCGAGCGTCTTCCACTTGCCTGAGGTATACGAGGAGCTGCAGCGCATCGGAAAAGATCTCCAGCTTCTCTTCCGTGCCAGTTCTCGATCAGGTGTGAGCTCGCCGACCTCTTCGTTGTCCGGATTTGCAGGTTTCCTCAACACCTTCATCACACAGAAGTGGGTCCCTAAGGTCAAAGCAAAGGCTCAGCATTTCCTTGCTGTCAAGGCACGAGGCCAGACGACAGTATGCCGCCTCCCCATTCCTTCCGACACCAGCTACCAACCACCCAGCATCGACAGTTTGCTGCACGTGATCGAAAACCTTCGCGAAATGATGCTCAAAATGCCGACACACGCGTCCGACCTCGCCAGCGTCCTCGAAGCTTCTGTTTTGAGCTGGCTGGAAGAATGCGCGGCCATCGTGCGCGATATTCGCGAGCAGACGCTCAACCACCAGCAATTGCAGACTAAAAACGTCACCTACGCCGACCTGGCAGCCATTTTCCACGAGTACGAAGGGTATCAACGCGCTAAGCAAGACAGTCCGATCCCTTTTCGTAACTCGAAGGTGCAGCCAGCACGATCGACGAGTATCGGAACAGGTTCCAGTCGAGTAAGTGCCGAAGAAATGATTGCCGCAAGAGAATTGGAGCTTGAATGCGACCTCTACGATCCAGATGCCTGGATGCAAGGCCCCGATGGGCTACTCATGGACAACGCGCGAATTGGAATGCTCGGTTACGCCAACAGCGCGTGTGATCTCATTGCAGTGTACCTTCAACGTGTAGCAGGAGGTTCCGAAGGGTCTAACAATGCTCCAGTTACCTCGCCAGCACTAACCATGGCGCTACAAGCTGCGAGCTGGCAGTGCAGCGCTCTAGCTGACGAATGTCTTCTCTTCCTGCGTCGTGAGGTGCGTCTGCATTGTTGCTATTACCTCACGCAGCTCGTCTCGCTGCGATTTGACATGGAAGAAGGCCTGCCGACAATGGCCCAGGACAGCGTACTGACGCTCAACTTGGACCTGTCATCGATCGAGAACGCACTGCAGCCATATCTGGCCAGCGACAAGATGACGCTTGTGTTTAATGGAGTCGATGCGCTGCTATCCCGCCTACTGATCGGTGACCTCGCGCAGATGACAGGCTGCGCATTTACTCGTGGAGGTGTCCAGCAGATGCTGCTCAACATTGGAGCTCTTCGTCAAGGGCTCACAGGCACTCTATACTCGTATCCTCGTAACGGTACGTCGTTGTCTTCTTCGGCATCAATGGCTTCGTCGTGTTCGTCGGCTTCTCGTTTGGAGCACGCCAAGCGGTACTATCAGCTGCTCAATTTGTCCGAGACACAACTTGAGATGTTTCTCTTGGCAAACCGCGGCGCATACACACACGACGCTTTTCGAGCGCTCTGGCGCGTTAACGCTCCCCATCGTCCACTCGCGAAGGGCAGCGTCAATAAACTCGACAGTCTTCTACGGTAATACGTCGTGTAAGGCTGCAAGCAGGAGCGAACAGCTTCTAAGCTTCTAATCCAATATTAAAACGCAAAACTCGCTTACGACGTGAAGTCCAGAATTGTTTTATGAACTCCTCTCATCTATAATCGTTGAAAGTACGAATCCGCGTCTTGAACATCCGCGTGCGAGGCAGGAAGGTTAGTATTTGACGGAAACAGTGCTCTACTAGCACTACTCGACGGTCGTGGCGCTCGCGTGGACGTAGCCGCAGCGGCAGTGGCTGGGTTAAATGCTTCGCGGCTGTTGAGAAAATCTGGTAAGGGCGGAAGTGAGCGATGGGCTGGTGGTAACACGATCGGTGTACGCGGTGGCTGCTGTTGCTGCTGAACAATTGGAAGTATTGCTAGCGGTTTGTTGGGCAGCGGCAAGCTGACAGACGGCATGATTGGCGTGGGTTGGGGAGGCCTAGTAGCCGCCGCTGCCACAGCACTAGCAACCGTTGGTAAGCCCGGGGTCATGGTACTTCCTGGTCCTGGCATCGAGAACAACGGCGGTGGCGGGGTTGCTAACAGCAACGATGACGTCGCGGGCCTCGCGACCTGCTGCAAATGAGGCAGCGACGGGATACGTTCGTGCTGGAAGGTCCTTACCCTCTCAATAGGCGGCGGTGGAGGCAGCGTAATCTGTACACCGCCACCGAACGGCAACCTGTTCTGCATCTCTCTCTGTCTCTGCTGCTCCTGATGCTGCCGCAGCGTCGGCAGCTCCGGCGCCAGTCTCAAATGCGGCAGTCGATCTCTGTCGGCCACCAGCGGCTGCAGCAATTGCAAGTGAGCCGGCAGCAAGTCCGCATCTTCCTCCACCTGCTGTCTCTTGAGCTGTCGTCGACGGTGTCGGATGCGCGAACGTTCGCGTGCCCGTAGCTCTTCACGCGCAATGTCGTCTAGATTATGACGACGCTCACGCTGCCGCTCGCGCTGTTTCTGGCGAATATCCGCCTTGGCTCGATCGCTGAGATTCTGACGTCGAACTTGCTGTCGCTGCCGGTTCTGCGCACGTAGGCGGTCGCGTGTCGCGTCGTCCAACAGCGACCTACGTTTACGCTGTCGGCGCAAGTTCTCCTGCCGCTGGAGATCCGCTACAGGGTCGGAAGCACTGGTCAATGACCGGAAATGACGGTACTTCGCTGCTCGCCGGCTGGCCAGTCGCCGCCGCCGCTGCTCAGGTGATTCACGGGGAGGTGTTGCATACTGCCTGCATATGCTCGGCGGCGTGTCCATTTAGAAATGTGCTAGTTTCTAACGTTATGAGTACGAAAGATACAAAAAAGGACGATAGGTAAGATTCTTCTACCGACCTATACGTAGTACTTTTAATACCGGTAGTACTTCGAAGTACTTCGTACGTAGTTCAGTAGTTTGTGCGCACTTGACAAGGCGAAAGCGATTTTGAGCACCTCTTTCACTTGTTCACACGTTAGATTTCTTTTATGCAGCACGCTGCATGCGACTAAACAGAGGTTAGTTAGTGGAGCATTTTAAAGTTGGAGCCGATGCCATTCTCCACCCTCATGCACCAACTCGCTCGTCGGCCAGTACTTGGGTTCGAGCTTGAGTGTGCTGAGACGGTCCTTGCCACTGAGGTCCGTGTATTTGATGCGCACCGAGTCACTGCCTGATTTTGCAGTAACGACGCTCAAGAAATCGTCGATGCTTGTAATCTTGATACCGTCAATTTCCTTGATGCGACTAGTGGGCGGCGGGCCATACCGAGCAGCCGGGGATCCCGAGTACCGACAGGACACGTATATGCCATCCTCCAACGAGATGCTGCGTTGCGCAGACACAGAAAGCGGTGGCGCCTGTAGTAAGAGACCTTGCCAGAAAACGATGCGGTTAATCTCCGTGCGCTCCATGAAAAGGGTCTTCACGTCTAGTTGCATCTCGCGTCCATCCCGCACAATAGTGAGCTGCACCTCCGGCTTCTGCGTACAGCGCTCTACCTCGCGGAAACTCGTCACGATCTTGCCGTCCACAGCGACCAAGATATCGCCGTTCTTGAGCACATCTTGGGCCTCTGTGCCACCCCATCGTCGTGCAACACTCAAGATAGTTCGGCGATCCGGCGCGTCCTTCTCCAGAATCTCGGCTAGAGCTTGGCCGAGACCAAGCTCTCGAGCCTTAGCCAAACTTAAGTGTTCGAAGTCAACGCCCAGGTCGTAGATTTTGGGTGTCACTCCACGCATGAGAGGTGCTGCGCTTTCCATGATCAGATCCATCGGAATACCACGGTTAAATTGACTTTCCACTTTGGAGCTACGACGCTGCTGCTGGAATGAGAAAGAGGCCCAGAACGCACTCACTTCGCCCTCGTCGCTGCAAATAACGCCGCCTTCGGTGCCAACAACGTCCTGCAGAGAAACCATTTCGAGATTATGCTCCTGGTACCGCGGTGGGTTGGGCATGGGCAATCCAATCCACTTCACACCAGATACGATGGTCTCGCGAGACACAAGATCGGAATGGCCACTACGACCCACACTGCTCATGAGACCAACAAGCCACACAGGATCGGATGGCACCAGCGGTTTAGAAGCCACCTGACAGCTTTCAATGGGCGTGGACCCAATGAGCTTCGGATCGTACTGCACAATGGCGAAGTTATGCACCGGATGGACAAATACCACTTGAGCCGGAACCATGATGGTGCTGGCGAAAGTCACCATGGCATCGCCCATTGAGTCGGTCACTGTGTTGCGGTCTACAACCACTAGCCCTTTCGCCGCATCGATCACAAGCCCTGTGCCTCGGTAATTCGACGTCGATAAACTGTTCACGCTAAATGGTCTGTCGAAGTCCACCGTAACTAGCGACCGCGCAAGCTTGTTTTCCACTGGGTTCTTGCCCGGTAAGGTAGTCGTTGAACCGATCGGCTCCTCTTCGGCTGAGGTCTTGCTCTTTTCAGCATCATGTGCAGAACCGTCTTCGCTGGGAGGACTAAAGTGTTCGCAATGCCATGTTCCCAGCTTGTCGTCTCGTACATACTCGCAGAACGGGAACCACCTGCGGTCCACATGCACAACCTCGACTTTTTCAGACTTATCGGTCAACTTCGAAAACTTGACCACGATGCGATCGCGGTCCTTGCACTGCTTCAGATAGTTCTTGAGTGTCTCGAGATCAGGTGTCTTGGTGCCATTTACAGAGTGAATGATGGAGCCGCGACCAATACGAGAACGTTGAAGGAAATAGCCCGGGTCTGCAACGTACGGAGCTCCAGGGCTCATCGCGTGGTTTCGAGCTTGCTGGTACGACAACGGGTTGATGACAGCACCACCAATTTCGATGAAGCGCGACGGAGTAACGAAATGCAAGTCCTGTACCTGCACCTTGTGCGTTATCAGTTCCCCTGAGCGTTCGATTTGAATCTCAACCTACGGGAAAAACGCGGGGAATGAGTCAGCGTGGTAAAGCAACTTAGACAGAAATAAAATATCTACCTCCTCGCCAACATTGTCGTCGAGTATGGCCTCCAATGGCACAAACCGCGTGATCAATTCGCCGTTGACGCGTACCAGTACATCACCAGGCTGCAGTTTGTTGCTCGACGGGCCTCCGGGAATCGTTTCAGCTACTGTCAGCATTCCTGTCTCGAGTGGGAAGGAGGTGCGAACGAGCCCTTCTGTGGCGGGATTAACACCGAGCCGGCGCACCTCGTCGAAGGGTTTGTAGTGGAAAAGCGCTTGAATAGTACCGCGAGAGACCTCCCTACCTTCTCGAATTAAATCGAATGCTCGCTTAACTCGATCGAGGGGCAGATAAAAGGAAGCTGATGTGCCAATCTTGCCGCCGGCATTAAGAGCAATGGCGTCACCATCATGGTTGAGCACAGGGGAGCCGGATGAACCGCCGGTAGTTCCTGACGACGCCTGGTAGTAGAACGTGTTGAAGTCATTGTAGCTGTTGTACCCGTAGTTAGGTGCATCGCGATCCAGACGCGCCAGTGTACCGCTAGCAATTGCGAGCTTTTCAGCAGCATCATTACCCACGACGCGGATGTCCGTCCCAACGGTAGCCTTTTCCGGCTCCAAACGCAAAGAAGGCACCGACATGTGCTTAACATCCTGCTTATCAGGTGTAAGCTCACTTAGCAGAAAAACAAGAGGAAAGTGAGCAGACACAACGTACCGCCGGGTTGAACTGGAAAAAGCCAAAGTCGTGAACCGGATCTCGGTAAATCGGGATCACCCGCACTTCCTCATTATTCTGAAAACAGCCTCGGCATCCTGCACAAGCGCGCAAACCCCAAGAATTATCATAAAGTCAGCAACCTAAAGCAAAATCGCCATCCAAAACTTCTTTAACCACCGTACAATGGGTCCAGGTCCCACGACGTGGCGGTTCGTCAAAATGATTCCCTTTTCCGCGTCCACCACAAAACCCGTCGCGGATCCGTTGCCCGGCGACTCCGTGTCAAAAAACTACAAAAGCCAATCACGTAATCTCCCTGTCAATAATTGTTGACGTCACCTCGACAACGTTCTCCATCCTCCTACCTTGGGCGAGTTGAGCTTCAAGCTCACAATGGCCGGCACAACGCGCTCGAGCGTGGACTTCCAGTCCTGCTTGTTCTGGTTAGCCTCCGCTGCCACCAGCTCCGCGGCGAGGCGGTCACTCAGCTTGCGTTGACGCTCGATCTCCTGCTCGCGCTGCTGCTTCTCCTGTTCGCTCTGGCGCCCCGTCGACACAAACAGGTAGCCAACGCCAGCCGCGGCGAGCGCCGCAGCCGCCATCTGCGCATTCTGCGTCGCTATATAACGCAAAATATCTCAATATCTTAAAGCCCTCGAATGTGAGATCAGGCCACGTACTTGGAGCTGATGAGGAGGAGGTGGAGAAGGGTCGCGTCAGTCCCAAGGGAAGCGTCTGCAGCGCTTGCGGACGCCGATACAGCTTCTGCGCACCCCCAGCAGCGGCCCGAGTCCGAGGCAGCGGCGCCAGTGAGCGCCGCGCCGCCGTCGCACCTGCCTTCCACATGGTCGACTAGGGGATGGCAAATCAAAGAGTGAATGTCGAGTTCAACTGGTCCTGGTCTTGGTACCCTTTATTTGACCCAATCTCTCATAAATGCCCAATTACTTTATCGAAGGCGATATTATTCGGCCCAGGACGACCATGTCGGCGACCATGCTCAAGAAGATGCTGCTGGACGCGGCGGCGGCGCTCAAGGCCGAACGCTTCCAGGAGGCACAGGATGCTGGTCGTCGAGTGACGCAGTTTGACCCTAACAACTTCCAGGCCTTCATGTGCGTAGGACTGGCTAGCTTCCAGCTGCAGGAGGTGCGTCGTCCCGCATTTGCCAGCGTATCAAATGCTGATATTACATTTGTCGTTGCTGAAGTGGGAAGACTGCGAGGAGGCGTATCGTCGCGCTGCAGATCTCAAGCCGGACATGCCTGCGCCGTGGAAGGTTTAGAGGACAGATTTAAAATTGTTATTGGTGGCAGGAACTGAGCTTACAATGGCTTGCAGTATCTTGTGGACCTGTTTGAGGCGAAGAAGGACGCCAAGAGCAAATTGGAGCCGCTTCAGAAACTTGTGGACCTAAATTTGAGGTGCTGCAACTAGGAGAGACGGGATGTGGGATCTTTTAGCTGATGTTTTGCGGTGCTCTGGCGGCTAACAGAGGCAAGAAGTTGAAGAAATGCCAGAAATGGGTCGTAGAGCTGGCAGCAACAGCAATGGAGTTGAAAATGCTCCCCAAGGTTTGTTGTTTGCGCCAGTTAAGCACTCTACGCAAATGTCTTCCACCATGTGTTTTTAAACTCCATAATTTCTGCCTTTTGATTTGTCCCGGAGCAGGCCTTCGACTCTGGTACTCCACTTGTGGGGGAGCAATCTGGAGATTCGGGTCAGCTCTCCTTGGAGAAGACCCCAAACGACGAACTACCAACTGCACTGACAATCTGGTTGGATTTGGTGGATCTGCTACAGGTAAGGTAGTATTTTGCCCAGCAAGGCAACGACCTATGCTGAAGTATGGTTGTGACGTGTGGTACAGCGTCCTGGCTTCAGTCTATCAGAATGCTCTGGCAGCTACTCCATGGCAGACATCTCGAGTCACTTCTTTACTGCTGCTTCTCGTACCGACTGGACAACCCAGAACAAAGAAATCGACGCACTTCGACCTCGAATGGACGTCGCGATTGCATTCTTCATGCGCTTCCACCTGGATTTCTTGAAAACTTCAAAAAAGAAGCCTGCTCTTCTGAAAACGCTGG